ACCATGAAGAAATAAATTTGGCTGGCGAGAACAAAATCACAGCGATAGGCAAAGGCAGTGTGTTTCTAGAAGAGTGCAACGTTATGCTTAACAACGTTCTGTATGTGCCTGAACTGCAGTGCAATTTTATTTCTGTGGGCAGAGTGGCAAATAAGGCGGCAGTGAAATTCAATATAAAGGAGCAAGAGTCATCGATGCTAAAGGAAAAACAGTGCTGTACGCAAAAAGGGTAGGCGATTTGTTTTTGTATACTACATCAAAAAAGAAATCATTTTTTATGAATAGTAATGAGGCTCTCAAATGGCATTACCGATATGGACATTTAAATTTAAATAGCTTAAAGAAATTAGTTGATGAAAAATTAGTACATGGTATGAAAGTAAATTTTCCTAAAGAAATAAATTGTAAGGTTTGCATGAAAAGCAAGTGCACAGGGAAGCCATTCACGCAGTATGAGAGCAGAGCGACAGACTTATTAGAGTTAGTTCATACTGATTTGTGCGGACCAATAAATAAACAGTCAATTGGGGTTTCGCGGTATTTATTAACATTTATTGATGACATGTCGCGTTATGTTTTTGTTTATTTCCTCAAATCAAAAGATGAGACATTTGAGAAATTTAAAGAGTTCAAAGAGATGGTCGAACGTCAAACAGGTAGGAAGATAAAATGTTTGAGATCGGACAATGGCACAGAATTTGTAAACAACCACTTTAATACATATTTGAAAGAGCATGGTATTGTTAGGCAACTCACTGTACCACACACGCCACAACAAAACGGTGTGGCTGAGAGGTTCAATCGAACTTTAGTGGAAATGGCTAGGTCTATGCTTGTAGCAGCAAATCTAGATGAGTCGTTGTGGGCAGAGGCTGTAAACACAGCAGCGTACCTGCGAAATAGATCACCCACAAAAGCGTTAGACGACAAGGCAACGCCATATGAGATGTGGTATAATAAAAAGGCTGCAGTAAAACATTTAAAATTTTTGGCTCTACAGCAATAGCGCTGAATAAGAAACACCACCATAAATTTAGAGCAAAGGGTGAAGAGTATGTGGTTGTAGGGTATTCAGAGACATCGAAGGCGTATCGTTTGTTTGATAAACACACAAGAAAGGTAGTGTTAGGCCGCGATGTGTATTTCATAGAGGAAATTAATGACAAGGATGTAGTGCAAATTCCGATTACCAATGGTGGAGAAATTAATTTGTCGGATTATAAGGAACACGACCATAAGAGTGATGACAATGATGATCAGAGTATGAAAAGTGATGGCGAATTTGAGTCGGCAGAGGAAGACAATATGTCAATAGAGGAACAGGAACATCCCATTAAGGAGGGGAGTAATGTAGAGAAGCCGCGAATAGGACCAGGCAGACCAAAAATAGTAAAGACTGGTAAAGCAGGTAGACCAAAGAAACAGTTTAATGTTTTGAATCTAATGAAGGTTGAGGATATTGTTGTGCCAAATACTGTTGAAGAGGCTATGTCAAGTGAGCATTCCCAATATTGGCAACAGGCAATGGAAGATGAATATAATTCGCTAATAAAAAACGAAACATGGGAATTGAGTAATTTGCCAGCAGGTCAAAGAGTGATTGGCTGCAAGTGGGTTTTTACCTTAAAGAAAAATTCCAAAGGTCAAGTTGAGCGATTTAAAGCAAGATTGGTTGCAAGAGGGTTTGATCAAGAATATGGAATAAATTATACGGAGACATTTTCACCTGTAGTCAGATATGAAACAATTAGAATGGTAATAGCTCTTGCAGCAGAGTATAATTTATAGCAAGTTCAGACTTCAGTGAAATGGAAGATATAAAGTCAAATATTGCAGCAAGGGTAGATGTAGTTGACAAGGGACCAGCTACTAAGTTTTTGAGCATTGAAATTGAAAGAGAAGGATCTACAGGTAAAATTAGTATACATCAGAAAGCTCAAATTAGAGAATTGTTAGATAGATATGGAATGAAAGTGTGTAGGCCAGTTTGTACCCCATTAGAACCCAAATTTCAGATAGCATGTAGCAATGAAAATTGTAAGCGAGTAGATTCAAAAGATTACCAGTCGTTAATAGGATCACTAATGTATTTAGCGATATGTTCGCGTCCTGATATACTACACTCAGTGTGTAAACTATCACAGAAAAATACGGATCCTCATTATGAGCATATGACAGCAGCGAAACGAATTTTGAAGTATCTAAATAAAACGATAGATTATAGATTACAGTATCAAAAGACTGGACAACAGGTAATAGCTTATGTTGACGCTGACTGAGGTGGTGATATAGAAACAAGAAAATCATACACTGGCTACGTGTTTATGCTCGATGGAAGTGCTTTTTCATGGGAATCAAAGAAGCAGGATACAGTTGCGTTAAGTAGCACTGAAGCCGAGTATATGGCTATTTCATCAGCAGCAAAAGAAGCTGTTTATTTAAGAAAGTTGTTGTCTGAACTTAAAATAGATTGCCCTGATAAAATAATGATAAATGGAGATAATGTAGGGGCGTTACATTTAGTTAGAAATCCAGTATATCACAATAGAACAAAACATATAGATATAAAGTTTCACCATATAAGAAATGTGTACATGGAAGGACATATAGATTTATGTTACGTTTCTAGTTCTGAGAACATAGCAGATACTTTAACGAAGAATTTATCAAAGGTGTCTCATTTAAAACTAGTAAAAGAACTTGGATTGACATTACTGGATTTTTATAGTATGTCTATAAAGAATGAATAAGTGTTGTAATGTAAATAGTACGTATAAATTAGAGAATAAGGAAATAAGAAATATATGTGTTGAGGAGGGGTGTCAGTTATTGTGAATTAAATACAACCTTGCAATACATATATTTGTGCAGCTCCCCCTACATGTAATGATGTAAATATGATCATGTAAATATCGGTTAACTAATAACATCGATTATCTAGTATTTAGTATGTGTAGATTACGAAGATAATATGTCCGTTACAGAATAGTCTAGATTAAGAATATTCTAGTTTAGAACCATCTAGAAAAGCTTTTATATATAAGCAGGAGAAGAGAAAGAAAGTTACCTCAGTTTGTAAAGTGTCTGCCTAAGAGTTAACAAGTGTGAAATAAAGTCCGAAAAAACTGAAAGTGTCCGCGAGTGTTTTATTTGTCTACCTGGTGTTAAGTGTTAGTGGACATTAGTGGAAACAAATTTAAATTTACAACACATTACGAACTTCAAATACCAAATTTGAAACGATTCCGGTAAACAATGTCGCTAAAATCATCAAAAAACCGAATATCGGGGGGTACCTTTATATGGGGGCTACAGGAAGACGTGGGCCTGCACAGATAATTTTCTGTCTTAGGCTGTAGCATCCATTACAAACTTCAAATGCCAAATTTGAAATAATTCGGGTGAATAATGTCGCTAAAATCATCAAAATACCGAATATCGGGAGGTACCGTTATATGGGGGCTATATGATAACTTGGACCTACATGGCCCATTTACGAACTTAACCTGCCTACTGGGAAAAATACATGTGGTCTGACATGAATATTTCGAGGAGTTACAAACGGAATGACAAAATTAATATACCATAGTATGGTGGAGGGTATAAAAATAGTTAGGCCGGGCCGAACTTTTAATACCTTCACCATTGTAATGTAACCGTGTTCCACTTTAAACTACATATATCAGTAAGACCGTTCGGATAATGCAGTTAAACTTAAAAAAACATAAAGTGCGTTTGTCCGTTATAAGGGAGCTATATCAAAAAGGGTGCCCATTTAGACAACTTTATACTACAAGGATTGTTATTTATTGCACATTTATTGACAAGGATTATCCAAACACCAAATATATGTGGGTACCATTATATGGCGGCTATAGCAAAACATGGACCTAGATATTCAATATTCTGCCACTGTAACGAAACCCCATTAAGAAATACAAAGACCAATTTTTAGACGAATCCGTGGATAATGTGACTAAAATAAAAAATAACAAATATCGGGAAGTACCGTTGTATGGGGGCTATACGAAAACGTGGACCTATATACAATATTCGGCCGCTGGAGCTAAAACCCATTATGATCTCCATATACCAATTTTTAGACAAATCCGCGGAAAAATTTGGCAAATATAATGAAAATACCGAATATCGGGAGGTACCGTAATATGGCGGTTATACGAAAACGTGATTCTATATATGCTATCTTCCGCCACAGGACCTAGAACCCATTAAGCACTATAAATACATATTTTTACACAAATCTGTGGAAAAACGTGGCAAAAATTCGTGCCAAAGGTGACCAATTCGAACAAATCTAAACTTATTTTAAAATTTGATACTATTTCCGATATCATTTGCTCTTATTCAATAAAATTTATAGTTTTTTTATATTACCCGGTATGCTGTCAGTACAAGCAAGTTCGGTATCTTTATGAGGGTGTTATATAATGGGGTTCAAAATTTTCAATATGAGTGATGAGTTACAAACAAAATTTTTAACTTAATACCTCCTCCTGTCATAAAAACTTGTGCAGACAGTATTCTTAGTGTCGTTCGACGTTGTCAAAACTTTGCAATTGATATGTTACGTCCAATAATCTTGTCAGATCATAATCTTTTGTTCAGTTAATTGGCAGTGGCTGACAAAGCCATTTGTCACGCGCGAAGATAGGATTTTATCTGAAACTTAAGAAGTAAAACTACTTATTATCCATAACTCATAAATTTCTAAAATGGTTGACTTATATAGCGTTCTCTTAAAATTTTTTGCGTTGACTATGCTAAACTAATATATTTACATTTACAGTTTCATGTATATTAACTTTATTTAAACAATGGAAAAATTTTTGTGATACACAAATAGTCTTACAAAATAAAACGGTTACTCTATAATGTGAAATGTAAATATTCAATAATGTAGGTAATATTAGTACAACAATCCGCAGTAACGCAAGGGTACATGGTCATTTTTGAAGCAGTTGTTAAATAGTATATTTTACCTGTAAGAAAATACATGTTATGCGATGTGGGTCATCCATTACACTGGGTTTAGCAAAATCCCAAGAGAGGTCTTCATAACGCAATCCAATAAGCAATGTCTTTTAAAGCATATATAATATTGATAGGGGTTAGTACGGTTGTGATGTATTACACTAAAATTATAAACTAAATATATGTACTATGAAATATTTTTGTATGCTTGCCTATATATATATATTATTCCATCTCCTCCCAAACAAATCGGACGCCACCTTTCTTAAAATAGATCCAAGTAAATGATTCAGCTTTTTTAATGTATTTCTAGGCGAGTTATTATTCAGGAGCATTAAATATGCCAGTGCTGTTCAAGAACTTCCCTCTCGCCATACTAACTTTCCTTAGCTCAATCTTTAACAAATAAGATTTAAAACATATTTATCAATAACCTTGTACAACATTATATATGGGGAATATACGAAATTTTTGTCATAAGCTGTAGTGCCCATTTCGAAGTTCAAATACGAAATTTTAAATCATTTCGGTAAATAATGTCGCTAAAATCATGATAATACCGAATATCGGGAAGTACCGTTATATGGGGACTATACGAAGACGTGGACCTGCATACGAAATTTTTTGTCAAAGGCTGTGGTGCCCATTCGAACTTCAAAAACGAAATTCGTTACAATTACGGTGGATAATATCGCTAAAATCATGAAATACCGAATATCGGAAGGTACCGTTATATGGGGGCTATACGAATATCTGAACCTGCATACAAAAATGTTTGCCATAGGCTCTAGTACCTATTGGTATCTCCAAGTACGATATTTGAAACGATTCCGGTGAATAATGTTGCTGAAATCATCAATAACAATTTTGAGGAAACCATAAGCTCGTCTCGAAAGAGAAATAAACACATAGATCATAAGCATATGATATTCGCTTTAAAAAGGCAGAAACCATTGTTGTCTTCGAATTTACTCATTCATTCAATTCAATTCACTTTCATTTTGTTCTAGCCATCCAGATCGATTCCATCATAAGTCATTATTTATTGATACCTCGGGGGAAACGCCATCATTAGTTTTTCATAAACGCTGATATTCCGGTCGCTGCTGTCATTGTTGTCGTCGCATTGGGGATGCCTCCCAAAATTTTTAATTATATATACACAAATCTCTTGATCGTTTACAGATACAGTCTTCAAATGTGGAATGCGTAACGTAATTTGAAACAAAAATAAATTTGCCAAATTATTTTGAAATAAGTTCAGATTTGGATGTAGCTCCCATATATATTTACGACCGACTTTGTTTATTTGAAGCACCAAACACGATATGTATGTTCGATTCCAATGATTTTGATCAGAAAATAAATTAGTCAAATTATATTGAAATCGGTACAGATTTGGATATAGCTAATATATAATTGTCGGCCGATTTCATGTATTTGATGCATCATGCACGCTATGTATCTCTAATTTCAATTAAATTTGTAATGTATAACGGAATTTAAAACTAATATACATTTGTCAAATTATATTGAAATCAGCCGATGGGAGGAAAACGCTAAATGCTTCGAGCAGTGGACCGTAGGGTAATATCATGGTAGAACTAAGAAGGTAAGTCATGTAATCATATGTTTACAATTTTTTCAAATTTATACATTTGACAACATCTGATTGCCAAAATCTCTATTCCTAAATCTGTTGTATACACACAAAATTTTATGCATTGAAATTTGACAAGGTAAATTACAGAAAATGCAGAGCTGGGAATGCTAATATGAAATAAGGTTACCTTTACTTCATTGTACCATGGGTAATATATAAAAAGAAATAAAACATGAGAGTTTTTCGTAATATAATATAGAACTATTTATTGTTAGTTTGGTTGGTGGTAGCGATATTACCTACAATATGCATCAACAAATGACACCGAAATACTACTGATTTCTAAAGGAGGCAGTGAACAAGTGATAACTAATTACTAGTTAAAATGTCAGAGGCGCTAGCACAAGGTTGCCATAAAACGTAGCGCGAACATTTTAACGAATAATTAAGGACCAAACCAAGAGTCAATAATAAGCAATATTTAAAGCAATTCTAAACATACCGAGCCCTTGAAACATAAAGGCATGTTTCAACATAAATCAACTGAATCTAAATAAGTTCCAATAAAAGGTGGGGGATGTATAGCAGTGTGAGCTATTTATTCGAGAATAATGTAGGGAATGGAAACGCAAACGAATATGCAGTAGCAGAATCTATTAGATTAGATCAGATTAATAGTTTGAAGTCGCAGATGAACCTGCTGTTACAGATTCGGACTTCAATCGAGCTACGTGTTTCCCGAATCAATATTCGTGGGGGTTCCAATTGAGACCCTGTGCCAATGTCGGTACATACACCGACAGTTGACGAGAGACTGATTTTAGGCGAAGTTCGTCCTACAACATTGTTTACAAATTTAAATTACTTTTTATGATTTCCATTTGATAAAATTGTTTTCATAAATTTAATTAAGCTCAATTTCGACATTTAGTGTAGTGATTCGAGCGAACAAAATTAGATTTTTGATTTTGGACTCCAACCGATGTGGAGGTTAACATTTCGAGGAACGTAAAACTGGGGCTGACGCTGACAACAACGACATTGATGCCCTTGACGAAGCCTTGGAGTCGGAACCAGAATGGAATTAATCGATTTTAATAACTCGCGATGTACGAAAGTGACCGCATTTCAATCAACTATTCCTACTAGCACAATTTACTAGTTTATGTCCCTTTACTAAACAATGTATACAATGATTGTGGCGCTTGTCCAATGCACATGCAAATAGCTTTAATATTTTGGGCATGGGATAATGATGAAACAATACACGAATATTGTTGTATTCATCATTTAATGCTTTCCATGTGATAGCGAAACCATGATTAGTTACAGTTAGTTGAAAAAAGCGTTATATTTATTTTCTGCCAAATGTTGATGTTCTTTTGTTAGATTTTCCGTATGTTTTAAGTTTTGCAACGACGACCAAATTCTATCAGAGCCTCTGAGTCTCTTGAAACTTTGTAGTTATAGCAAGAAACACAGAAACAATTTGGTAAAAAATAGGAAAATAAATAATGTATTAATTTTATGTTTATTTATTTGTAGTGTAGCTACTCAACCTAAACGTACACGTAGTGTAGCTACTCAACCTAAACGTACACGACAGAAAGAGGAATAAACAAATATGTTTTTCCTTGGTTTTTTATGTTCGTTCACTGATCAAACAAAGCACAAACAACAAGTGCTGATCAGAGATCAAACAGTGTTTTTGTTGTTTGCGACAAACAAAACAGAAAATGAATTTGAATGTTGAACAACGAGAAAAAGAGAATAAATGTAACAATAACAATATGCAATATTAACGCAGACAGACCAAACAAAAAGAATAACATTACAATTTTTGCTTTATGTGGTAAAGCACACCAAAGTAAGTACTAGCAGTTACGATGGATTTGTTGGTATTAACAAAACGAAATATTGAAATTCTGTTATTTGAAATTAACCAAAAGTAACAGAAAAATAGCATACTATTTTTGCAACAATTTTATTTTCGTGTTTTGTTTTGATTATGATGCTGCCAAATGCAAGCATCCAATTTAGAAACCAACGATTGGCGGAAAAAAAAAAAGTTGACGTTGTAAAACGACGTTTGTACCTAAACAAACCGATTGTTTTGTTGTTGTCGCGATAATGTAATAACGCGAGCTCAATTTAAAACACTGCACTATACGTTCCTTGTAATGGAGGATTAATGGACTGTATGTTGTGGATTCCCAAAGCATCCAAAAGGGTTGAAATATCCGGTACGAATTTCAATATAATTTGACTAATTTATTTTCTGAACAAAATTCCGTCAAACTACATCTAAATGTGAACTTATTTCAATATACTTTCGCAAATTTATTTTTGTTTCAAATTCCGTTAGGCATTTCAACATCGCAGAGCAATAACAAGAATTTATTGTTAGAAATACGTCCAATTTGAGGAAATCATAAACTCGTCTTGAAGGAGAAATAAACACATAAATCATAAGCGTATGGTATTCACCCTAACTAGGCTGAACTCATATATATATATATATATATATATATATATATATAGTCTGTCAGTCCTATCTCTCGATCGATTGCAGATATAGTCTTTAAATATGGAATGTGTAACGGAATTTGAAACCAAAATAAAATTTGCCAAAGTATATTGAAATAAGTTCACATTTCGATGTATTGTGGCAGGATTTTGATCAGAAAATAAATTAGTCGATTTATATTTTAAATCGGTAATGGATATTTGTGCCCTCTTGGACGCTTTGTGAATCCACAACATACAGTCCATTAATCCTCCATTACAAGGTACGTATAGTGCAGTGTTTTAAATTGAGCTCGCGTTATGGCAGCATCATAATCAAAACAAAACACGAAAATAGGATTGTTGCAAAAATAGTATGCTAATTTTTCAACCCTTTTGGATGGTTTGTGAATCCACAACATACAGTCCATTAATCCTCCATTACAAGGAACGTATAGTGCAGTGTTTTAAATTGAGCTCGCGTTATTACATTATCGCGACAACAATAAAACAATCGGTGTGTATAGGTACAAACGTTGTTTTACAACGTCAACTTTTTTTTTGTTTCCCGCCAATCGTTGGTTTCTAAATTGGATGCTTGCATTCGGCAGCATCATAATCAAAACAAAACACGAAAATAGAATTGTTGCAAAAATAGTATGCTAATTTTCTGTTACTTTTGGTTCATTTCAAACAACAGAATTTCAATATTTCGTTTTGTTAATACCAACAAAATCATCATCGCTGCTAGTACTTACTTTGGTGTGCTTTACTACATAAAGCAAAAATTGTAATGTTATTCTTTTTGGTTGGTCTGTCCGCTTTAATACTGCATATTGCTATTGTTACATTTATTCTCTTTTTCTTGTTGTAAAAACATTCAAATTCATTTTCTGTTTTGTGTGTCGAAAACAACAAAAACACTGTTTGATCAACCACCAACATCACTGCTTTGTCGTCGTTCTTTGATCAGCACTTGTTGTTTGTGCTTTGTTTGAT